CATGTCAGTGAATATGGCCATCATGCACCGTTGGAATGTGGCGGGTGCATTGCATAGGCCAAATGGCATCCTCCTAAAGGCATAAATGCTATAAGGGCATGTGAAGGAGGTCTTGTCTCGGTCCTCAGGTGCAATGGAAATCTTATTGTACCCTGAGTACCCATCCAGAAAACAAAAGTGTGACCTCCCTTCCAATCTATCTAGCATCTGATCGATGAAGGGAAGTGGGAAGTGGTCTTTCCGGGTGGCTAGATTCAACTTTTGATAATCCATGCAAATTTTCCAGCCTGTGACGGTTCTCGTTGAGATTAGTTCATTGTTGTCATTCTTCACAACCGTCTTTCCACCCTTCTTAGGCACACATTGACCTGGGCTAACCCAGCTGCTATCAGAGATTGGGAAAATAATTCCCGCATCTAACCACTTTATCACCTCCTTCTTCACCACTTCCTTCATATTTGGGTTCAGCCTCCTCTGATGTTCCCTGGAAGGTTTGTGCCCCTCTTCCAACAGAATCTTATGCATGCAGTAAGCAGGGCTGATCCCCTTGATGTCTGCCATGGTCCACTCAATGGCAGTTTTGCACTCCTTCAATACCTGTAGAAGCTGTTGGACTTGCACATCTAACAAACCAGATGAGATAATAACAGGTAGAGTGGAGTCAGGTCCCAGAAATTCATACCTGAGGTGGCCTGGCAATGGTTTTAGTTCCAGCTTCAGTGGTTCTTTAATGGATGGCTTAGCTGGAGGAGTCTCCTCTTTTCTAAGTGTAGGGGCTCAAACTCTAGATTTCTTTCCCAGAACCCTCTACCTTCTAATGCCAACACCTATTCTACCAAGTCCTCACCGTTCACTTCCTCCAAATTCATCAAACATGAAGCGAGGGGATCCTCAATCGTCAACACTTCATCATCATACTGTATGATTACATCCACGACATCAATAAGAGAGCAATTTGCGAACTCACTTGGGCGCCTCAAAGATTTCTGCACGTTGAATATAATCTCTTCGTCATTGAGCCTCATCTTAAGCTCCCCGGTCTCACAATCAATAAGATCTCTCCCTGTGGCCAAGAAAGGTCTTCCTAAGATGATAGGAATTTCTTCATCCACCTTGCAATCTAATATTACAAAATCTGCAGGGAATACGAATTTCCCCACCTGAATAAGTACATCATCTAGGATCCCAAATGGACGCTTCACAGTCCTGTCAGCCAGCTGTAGCAACATAGAGGTGGGTCTAGCTCTCCATATGCCCAACTTCTTGTAAATGACCAGGGGCATAAGATTAATGCTGGCCCCTAAATCGCAAAGTGCTTTCGCAAAAGCGAAGTTTCCAATAGTGCATGGAATAGTAAAACTCCCTGGATCGGAGACCTTTTCAGCAACAGGTCTAGTTACAACTGCACTGCACGTTTGAGTAAGTGTCACTGTGGCTAAGTCTTGGAAGTAAAATTTCTGGGACATTAAATCTTTCATCATTTTTGCGTATCCAGGCATCTCCTTTAAAGCTTCAATCAATGGAATATTAACCTGAATTTGCTTGAGCATCTCAAGGAACTTTTTGTACTGCTCCTCCTTTTGATGCTTGGCCAACCTCTGTGGAAATGGAGTAGGAGGTCTTTTCTTCCCAATCTCTTGGGACTTTTCTTTCTCAGCTACTATCTCTACTACCGGCTCTTCAACTACTTCAGCAACTTTCTCGGTCTCCTGCTGAGTATTCTTTTCTTACTGAGCAGGCTGGATTATCACATCTGTCAGCCTTGTGGATTCATCCAGCTCAATGGGTACCTGGATGAGTGTCTCAGCCTGTATATTGTCACGAGCTCTCTCTTGCTCTTCGTCGAGATCCCTGCCGTTACGGAGACTCACCGCCATCAACTGCTTCGGGCCCTGATCTTTAGGATTGATTTGGGTATCTGCAGGTAGCGTCCCTTGAGGACGATTGTTCAGAGACATTGAAATTTGGCCCACTTTCACTTCAATATTTTTGATAGTTGCGTCATGTGCATCTACTCTCTCATTTATCTTCACAGTGGACCCAATAACCTGCTGCATCATTGCTTCCAGTCTAGCAAACCCATCGTCCTGCCTTCCACCATGCTGCTGCTGAGGAGGGTGGTACCCCTGCTGCTAATTGTTATACCCCTGTGGTCTAGGATACGGTGCCATGTTGTTGGGGGGTCTCATACCTCCCATGTTTCCGGCGTTATATTGTGGCTGAGGTGGTCTGTACTGCTGCTGAGTCTGCTGACCCCAGTTCTGATTTCCCTGTCTCTGACCCCCATAGTTAGCAACATAGTTCATATCTTAAGGGTGCTGCTGATGATGATCAAGCTCTATATTCCAAGGATTATCAATTGGCTGACTAATGCAAGATGTGCACAGGCCCCATTGGTAGTATCTACTATGTGTACCTGCTGCTTCTGCCCTGATTCCTCCACCTTTTTGG